ATGATTTACAACTTAGGTGGCCAGAGTTAGCTGAAGTTTAACGGTGTCTAGACTAATTGTAAATTAACTTTTTTAGTAGATTTTACTGACAAGTTTGCTCGAAAATTTTTTATCGTGAGAAAGGATTTTCTTCCTTGATCATATTTGGTATTATTTACTTTATTGCTTTTGATCTACTTGTTTATTGATTAACATATAGGGTTTGAATTGATTTTAAAATAATCATTTAGAAACAATAATTAAGTGACTTAATGCTTGTTATTGGTTAATTTCGCATATTTGAGTCTAAATAAATATTGCTAACAAATCGTATCAGAGATTTAGTAATTTTTCAATTAGCAATGATTTCTAGCAAAAAAATATGTTGATAAAACTTAATTTGAGTAGTTCAATAACTAATTTTACATCTCAAAATGTGAGAATACTAAATATTATTAAAGATCTAAAACACATTCAAAGATCTCTAGATTCAATCACTTGATATTGATTTATAAAATCATTTCAAATATTGTTTCTTTATTGGTTGAGCCTTGTATTCAGTCAATAGAACATACTTTAAAATCATATTCATATCCACAAATCTCTTGCATCAACAAACCAAAACACAAAAAGATCATTAGGTCAAACACCAATAATCTTGTATGTATCTATAAGTTTTCAGAGTTCTAAAATTTGGAGAAGAGGTGCTTGGAATTCCAGCACTCCAGAACGAGTTCATCACTGGTGATTCACTTGGAGGAAAAGATAGCCCAAAGTTGTTGGGAAGTGCGGGTCGCACAACAAAAGGAGTTCCTTGATGATTTACAAGTTAGGTGACCAAAGTCAGCTAAGATTTGACGGTGTCTAGACTAATTGTAAGTTAATTTTTCTAATGAATTTTACTAACAAGCTTGCCCAAAGGTTTTTGATCGTAAGAAAGGATTTTCTTCCGTGATTATATTTGTATTATTTACTTTATTGCTTTTGATCTACTTGATTATTGATTAACACAAAGGGTTTAAATTGATTTTAAACTAATCATTTGAACATAATAATTGACTTATTGCTTATTATTGATTAATTTCGCATATTTGAGTCTAAATAAATATTGCTAACAAACAGTATCAAAGCGTTAGTAAATTTAGTAATTTTTTCCGTTGGCAATGATTTCTATTAAAAAATATGTTGATAAAACTTGATTGGAAAATGCTAAACCTACAGGCTACTGTTTCACAGAAGCCTTACAGAAAATTAAAAAACCGGGCGGTTCAGGAAAAGAGCAGAGCAATCCCGTTTCTTCTCTTCAAAAATAGGGCAAAGAGGAAGGAAAAAGAGTCCATTTCTACTCCTCCTTCCCGCCCAGCGTAGCTTTCGCCAGCGTGCCTAGCTCAGTTCCCGCGCCCAGCTCAGTGCAAGTTTACCTTCTCCAGCGTGCCCAGCTCAGTGCAGATGGTAAGTGTAGCTTTTCTCATTTCCTATTTCATCCAATTTTTTTCTTACTCTTAGCTGAAAATCGAACTCCATTTGCTGATTTTTTTTTCTTATTCTTAGCTGAAAATCGAACTCCATTTGCTGAAGGGTTAACTCCATTTGCTGAAAATCGAACTCCATTCAGAATTAACTTGGCCTGGCTCTTTTGTTACCCAGCTGAAAATGGTAATATTTGCTCACCATATTGCCTACTTACGAAGGAAAGCACAGTAAGCAAATTATGAACCGTTTGAACTGATGGAGATTGATATATTTTACAGAATGAATTATTGCTCAATTCACTAGGTATTTTTCACACACTTACAGTAGAGGATTCCATGGAGATTTATACAAGAGTGTAAGATCTATTCTAGGAAGAAATGCTTAAACTGAGCCTTGAGTGATACAATAATGTAGGCTGTAATTGCACGGCTATTAAGGTAAATAGAGTTGCTGAAATTAAGGTCCATGATCTTGTGCTTGAGATGAGGTGCTTTCCTTTCTGAAAAACTAAACAAAGTAGGGCATTTTAGCTTAAATGAAATGAATGCTTGTTTTTTAGTAGGCAAAAAGAAATGAATGCTTGTTTTGAAGCTGAACATTTTGCTATGTGATTTGTTGTAGGACACGATACTATGGACGGCATGAATGGGGATCCTTTACTACAACCCGATTGTGTGATAGTTGCAGACAATATGAATAGTGTGGAGGACGACATAGGAATGGGTGGACAAATGGGCATTCATGGTGTTCAGGTGAATTAGCACTTTACATACAATTTTATGTGTTTGAAGATTTTGCTTCTAATGGTATGTCATTGTGCAGGAAAACCGTTCCAACATTGATGACAATGGATTTCAAGGGATTTTAAGGGATGCCGCTTGTTTTACCGTTAAAAGATTTGATGTTCTCATGTTTTTATTTCTGAAAAACAAAGTCTATTTGTCCGTGTTTGATTAGAACTAATTGTGTACCAACACTTTTGTAATGGCCTTGTGATAATCATTCTGTCGAATGGTTAATATTTGTTGTTGGTTGTATGATGAATTTGCTGGTTGTTCATATTTGGTACTGGTTAAATGGTTAATATTTGCTACATTGGATTTCTAGGCATTATTCTGTCCAAATGTTGATAAAATGTCCACCCCCTTAGGCATTTTATTTTGTCCAGAATACAGGCTGCTTAATTAACTATGAATCAGGTGAAAATTTTGTGCAGCTTAAGTAACTATACATTAGTTCTCCTAATCATTTCAGTTCCAGTAGATAATTTAACAGTAAGAAGCCAAGCCATATGACATAAGACATAATTTAAAGCCATAAGACATGATGATCAAATTGAATTCGTTGACAAAACACCATCAAAACATCAATCCATTACACCATCAACGGGATTCATTGACAAAACACCACCAACAGAATTCAAACACCAAAAAAAAAAAAAAGACAACATTCTTGACAAAACAATATTTGTACTACAAGCTTAGTTGAATCCACATCAAGCTTTCCCCTTGCCTTTTCCATTCACATCCACACTGCCTTTTCCCCTTGCGAAATGTGATGTTCAACAAAATATTGACGCCTCGTTTTTTAGCTATCCGAGCTATAATGGAATTCGTTGACAAAACACCATCAAAACATCAATCCATTACACCATAAACGGGATTCATTGACAAAACACCACCAACAAAATTCAAACACAAAAAAAAAAAAAAAAGACAACATTCTTGACAAAACAATATTTGTACTACAAGCTTAGTTGAATCCACATCAAGCTTTCCCCTTGCCTTTTCCATTCACATCCACACTTCCTTTTCCCCTTGTGAAATGTGATGTTCAACAAAATATTGACGCCTCGTTTTTTAGCTATCCGAGCTAGGTGGTCGAACATATTCAGCAAATCTTCAACTTCCTCGATTTTCGCCGCATCAACTACTTCAGTTGTGACACTTGATTCACCACCTGATTCTTCGTAATTAGCCACTAAAGAAGTGCTCCGTGCTTCTACATCCGTGACAAACACCAACATTTCTTCGTCTCATCCTAGACGGGAAGCAACAACAATAAAATGTTACTAATAAACACTGAAACACAATAATATCACAAGAGCATATTTCATACAATGACATTTAATTAACACTATAAATATTCCCCAAATCATCCAAACAGGCATAAAATGGAATAAATAAGCCTAGAAGCATTAAGCACTAATCTTCAGAAGTAGCAAAATAAGTGCAGTAGCCATTAAGCCATAGCCACACGTATTAGAAATCAAAACTCCCTCATTTGCCCAATTTGCAATACTACCTGGAAAGATGTCCCTTTACTAGCCAATATCCATAAACTTCAAGAACAAACACAGTTCGATGAAACCAAACATAATAGAATACTACAATCTCCAAAAATCCCCCAACAAGAAACAAAGGCATTTGATGATGATGAGCCACTGGTTTCACCCTCAGCCACAGTTTCTACGAAGTTTGTTTATGAGGAGAAAGATGTTGCTGGTGAAGAATTTCAGGGATTTTTCGTCAACACCATTTCGAGCAATAGTTCTGCATTAATCTGCAGAAGTAACAAAATATGTGCAGAAGTAACAAAAATATGTGCAGTAGCCGATTCTAATTTGATTGAGCTCTTTAAACCCAAACCAGTAAGTGTATGAAAAAGCCCAAATCAGAAGAACACAACCTATCAAAGTTCGATCTACCTACTCTTCAAGAAACGCAAATAGAAGTTCAACGCAATAGAAATATTACTGTTAGCTAAAGAACCAGACTTTCAGATTCAGTTCATATGAACAATATCAGTCAACGTAAATTTTGAAATCAGATGAACAAAACAAGGTTAATGGCAGTACGTATCTCACGAAAGGGAGCCTACTTGCTGGCGGTGATGACACGATGTGGAGATTTGTGTAATTGTCGCCTACTTGTTGCTTCGGTCGTCCAGCGTTTGAACCGTTCCAAATCGATGAACAGTGGAATCGAGGTAGCTTCGGGCGGAAATGGATTCCAAGAGCTACCCACTGTTCGTTGCCGAGCGGAGTTCGGGATTGAATCGCGCCTAGGGTTTCAGAGTAACGATTGGGGATTTTCTTCTCAAGCGGAGATCGATTCCAAGCGTTTTCTCTCTCTTCGCTCTCTTTTCGCGTTTTCTCTCTCTTCGCTCTCTTTTCACCCTTTTATACGCCGGCTCATCTGTAAAGGCTCTGTGAAACAGTAGCCTGTAAGTGTAGCGCGATCGGTATATATGTAGGAAATAAGAGCGGCTGAAAAAACAAATTGGTAATCCGTTATCTGCCACGTAAAAGAATTCGCACCCTCGATCCCGATATTTTTGATCTTGTGACCGTTAGCACAGAGCTCGCGATTCCCTTTCTACAAAATGCCAAACGCGGTAAACGTGTGGCTAACTCTTCTTCCTTCCTTCAACTCGAATTCCATCTTAAATTAGAGTTTTGAATCAACCCATAATATAATAATATGGATTCCAAAAATGAAAATCTATTTCTTTGAGAAATTATCTGCTCCTTCTTCATCAAAGTCGATATGTTGGATTCAGTAACGTATTGTTACACTCCCAGAGTAAGACTCTTCACTGTCACAAATTTCACCATTTCTGATTCAGGAAGAAAAGAAAAATTATGATTGGTGCTGAAAGAATTTTGATTTGTGTCCTCCCTTCTTTTATTAACTAGGGCACGCTTTGCTGCATTAATCTTGGTTACAAACATACAATGGGGTGAGCGAAATATATTAATTTGTGAATTTGGCTGATTTTAAAGAAGTTGCACTATGTTGAGTCCAGTAGATTAGAGAACTAACAGCGTATTCTGTACTTCCATAACTTAAGGCAAATCCCATATTTGAATAAACATCAAATAAATACACAACTCCTCTTAAAAAGACCTCAACCTTTATGAAATATAAATACGTAAGGATTTGAGTTACCCCTTTCAACTTTTTAAGATAGAAATCAAGTCTTAATTTTCATAAAGTTCTCGACTTCTTAATGTTCAGATTTTCTGGATTCCCAAGAAAATTCAAAAGGAATGAAATGGAAAACTTATGATTGGTGTTGGGTGCTTTTCTTGCCATTCCTGATTACATACTTGCACGTGTCAATCTGGGACTGAGAATCTTGATTTCTTTTTATATTTTGTATTTCCCCCTTTTTCATTCCTTCTCTTTTATGAAGTAAGGCACTGTTTGCTTCGTTGATCTTCCTTAAGACATGGTACCATTGCAATAATTTCATTGGTAAATTGTTAATTCTTGGCCAGTTTTTGAATTTGCACTTTGTCGAGTCCAGAAGATTCGGTAACTTGAAACCAAGCCAATTTTGAGACTGTTTGTGATAATGAAACCAACTAGTGTATCTTGTTGTTGGACATTGTGGTGGACCAGACCACATGTTCTTGATGGTAATTATGCTATGCATTTATTGTAACTATTTTTTAATCATTGTTAATATTTATTTACTTTTCGAGATTATGTTAATTATTCATCTACGATCCATGCCGTTTCAGTTTTCTTTTTCTAGCACCAATTTCTTGTTGGATTTTAGAATAATGCTATTGTCATCTACGAATGTTGGTGAAGCAATAGTAGTGCGTTGCCATCAATATACTTGCCTCCTTTGGTTGTTTTGCTATTTCCTTTGCTTGTAAGTAATCTTGTCTTGATTTTTGCTAGGCGATAACTTTTGTAGTTCATATGCTGTAGCTTTGATATATCTGCAATATTTTGCATTTCATTCTTATGTACTTTCTTTTAAATTGTATTTCTTAATTGTCCAAGTTGGTCCAAATTTGTTCAAAACAAGCTTAGTTTATTATATTTCTTAGTTGTCCAAATGTTGATTAGATGAGTACTATGGCTATATTTCTCAAATTTGAGGTCAGAAGTATTCATAAATGCTCATAATTCTCTATGTCCACATGCAGGGTAGTGACATTATATTTCAGACTAGCTCCTTTAGAGCTACTTCTTATACTTCATGTCCATGTCGACGTTACTTCAATGTCTCGCGTGCTTATAACCAGTTAGTGCAAATCCGACCAATTCCCATACATCAGAAAATATGTTATCTTCCCTACAGAGCACACAATGTCTTCAAGGGAACACCTTTGTCATCTTACTCTATTGCTGGTAGAGAAGAATTTTCCTGTTTCAACTCTAGATGGGTTCGGAAGGTGAGATTGAGGCTATGTGCAGCTCTTGACGTTGCCAGTGCTGTTGATGTCATCAATGATTTGGGACTAGACACCTTGACTTTCTTAGCTGTGACTGTACTGGTAGTTCCTGCTTTCAAAATGATCAAAGCTAGCCCTGTAAGTTAACTATACTAATCAGAAAGAACACACACGTGTGTCCCCATATGTTTGTTGGTTTCACTATGATTAAGCTATACTATTCTGTAGTGTCCAAATCTCTAAATGATACTGCTATTATTTTGTCATTTTTTTTTCTTAAATCACATGGTATTTGTTTCAGATACTTGGCTTCTTCTTTGCGGGAGTTGTGCTCAATCAATTGGGTCTGATTAGAAATCTTATAGATGTTAAAGTTCTATCTGAATGGGGTATTCTCTTCTTGGTAAGCTTAACGTTGTTTCTGCTTTTATACTGTCATCCGTGAGCCCAAAGATATTCATGAGTAGTGGCATCCATGCATCCACAAAATGCATCGACATTTGACAATTCCGCCCCATTTTCCTTTTCACATTGCTGTTGTAATTTGTCATCTTTATCCTCCTGATCTTTCACACATTTTTCCATTATTTCGAGAAAAAGAGGATCCAACTTAAACTGATCGGACCATACTTGAAAAAAGGGCTTAAAAAGGTTATAGTAGATGCATGCTCCATGAAATTGTCGTAAATCTGAAATAAACTTTTGCATGACGACTAGGCATCTGCGAAATATGACAACAGGGCTGAGGCAGGTCATACTGGATGATTATTAATTGTAATAATTCAAATTCTTATCTCTCGAGGATTGTGAATAATTACTAGACATGTCATAGGATTTCAAATGTTCTCATCTGCAAGTGTCATACCACTCCTTACAATTGCCAAGAATTATTTAGGAAACCTTTCTATAATTTTTAGAGTTTGAAAATATGAACTGAAAATTGTGTGTTAATTATAACATTTTTTACTTATACAAGTTACTTTCGTTATGTGGCTCTAGGAAATCTTAACTAATAGGTGCTTTTTTGCAGCTGTTTGAGATGGGGTTGGAGCTTTCACTCGCACGTTTAAAAGCTCTTGCCAAATTTGCATTTGGCATGGGACTAAGTCAGGTACATCTTGCCAAATATGTGTAGCTGATTGTCAATAGTAGATTAAGTAATTTAAATTCATATATAAATGGAAGTTTGTTTTATCCTATTTGCTGAGAGTTCGATTTCATAAGTTTTTAAGATTAAGAATACGAGAAAACCTTTCCACAACTTGATGTTCTTCTCAGAATTTAGCAAAAACCATTATTATCTTAAGCTGCATCACTTCTAGACAGTACCTAGGATCTACAGCGTTTGAATTTCATATGTATTTGGATGCAATCTCAACCCCAAAGCTTAAAACTTGCAAATCTTGGGTCCCCACTCATATGCTCACGTTTCTAATGAATGACAGTTTTCTCACATCGGAACCTAGTCTTTTGTTGTTTTTGATGTATGTTGTTCAAACCTCTTGGTCATTTTTTGGATTTTCCCCTTTGCCACATGTCATGTTACTTTTTGTTTCTCATGGAGAAAAAAGAATGTTATACTTTAAACAATAAATTACTATAAGATATATATATGTGTGTGTGTGTACATATATACATATATATATACACACACATATATATATCTCATAGTAATTTATTGTTTAAAGTATAGACTCGAAAATCATAGTCAAACATAATAATATGTATAGACTCGAAAGTCATAGTCAAACAAGTATATTTTAAGAAGAAACGTGTCGCATTAGCTTGTCTTTTTTTAGCTCCACATATATGATATTCAAATCAACTTAGTCATACACGCATCGAACACATTTTTGTTAGTTTTTTTTTTTTCCTTCTTTTTGCCCGTTGTCACAAGTCACAAGTTTTGACACGTTTACAACAAGACAACTGAATTCTATATACTTCAATGTATTCCACAATGGTATTCTAGAGCTGATTTCCAACTTATTGACCCGAGTAGAAAATTGGTTCTTAACTTTGAAAAAAGAGTTAGTCGGTCATCGACTCTCTATAATAGTTGTACAATCAGTCTCAAACGATGAAAACCATTGAAATCTTACTTTGGTGCTTATTATTCGAACTGGTAGCAACCGCTGTTTTTAACATTTGTTAAATCGTAGTGTAATTAATCTATACATGTTTGACTTTACGACATCGATTTTGAGTGTGTCCCCGTACAGGTCAAGTGACGATTTACCGAAAATTTATACGATTTTCATCATTCGAGTTTGATTTGCAAATATATAATGATAAGTTGAAGAATTCATCAAAGGCCAACTATATTACTTGAAAAATGGATTGAGAGTCAATGAAGTGATTTTCCATTGGTATATGATAGGAAGACGAAAGAAATCACCACCAAATAATGTTTGTGCTGAAATATTTTAATTTTTTTTTTTTTAGTAGCCAGTCTTTGTCACGCAAGAAAATATATGCTGTCAAGTCTACATTAGATATAGTTTTTTAATATAAATGTGAAAATCTGTAGCAACTTTTTGACTAATTATTTTGGATGATCTAATGGCCAATTTTTGGGTTTGATTTTAAGTGTGAATAAAAGAATCAATCGTCGATTAGAAAAATGGCGCATTCTCATTAGAATAAGTTAGACGAGGAGATATATATGCATTCTCATTAGAATAAGTTAGAAGAGGATATATATATATATATATAATGAGCACCGGTGCTCATCTTATTCTAAGCACCGATGAGTTGGCACATTAATTCATTGGTGGATAAAATATATATATATACATATATATAATTCATTGGTGGATTGGAACTCACAAAATCTTTATCCACCAATGGATTAATGTGTCAACTCATCGGTGCTTAGGATAAGATAAGTACCGGTGCTCATTAGATCATTTCTGTATATATATATATGTATGTAGTGCGGATAGAAATTGTTTTTATTGTATTGAAGTTTTTATTATGTGTAGCTTGACTTAGAGTGATGAAAATGTATTTAAATTCACAAAATCGACTTTAAATATTGTAAAAATGCTACTTAGTCTATAGTTACTATATGCTACAAAGCGATGAAACTTTGAATTCAAATTATCGGTATATTTTACATACATTTATCACTAAACAATCCAAAATGAATCACGATAGACCGAATGTGAAATAAATTATACCAGAAAGTAAAAAAAAAAAAAATTTACAAGTTCCTTATTCTTTAATCATTTCCTACCATAGTGGTGCATTATAGGGTCATGTGATTATATGCTTAAAAAGCTCCAACAATTCTTGGTGGGTTTCAAAATTCATAAAAGCAATATATAGAAATAGTAAATGCACCATGAATTTGCCTCTTTTTTGCCCACCCAAATCCATTATTGTGGTAGATATGAATTTAGTGTGTTCCTAGTCAGTGAGAATAGTAATTGGTGGAATTTTAAGCATGTTTTTGAGAATTTGACATTATATATGATAAATGGTAGTGCCAAGTACACTAATCAAGAATAAATAAACTAAAATTACAAAGCACATTAGCATTGTACTTTGATCTTTGCAACCAAATCCTTAATAGAGTACTTATCCAATTTGATCATAGGAGTAAGTGAAGCACCATGCAATGAATTGAGACTACATTAAAGGAATTGTGACAAGATCTATTATTTCTGTCGAATACTATGTATATTTTTACGGTATATTTCGACAAGGTAAGTTTTATCCAGTCACATGTGACATATTGTTAGTAATATGTCACAGTCACCAATCACCAACGACAAGCATCATTAGACAATCGACACCCGTAAGTATTGTCATTTTCCAACCATCATCTCTGCAAACGGTGTGTGTAAAATTTATTCGATTTATAATGAATTAGAAATCTAGAAACTACTATGGGATTCTAATCACTATTTCAAAAATCGATCTAGACATGGATCCAAAAGAAAAAGAGTCAACTTTATGAAAGAAAATTAAATAAACAATTAAAAACAAAAATTAGGTAGTAAACTATCTGACTTTTGGATGAATAGGTCGAATTTGGGGGGTCAGTGGGTTTTAAATATGGAACACGCAAGTTAATTAGTACTATAGAATTCAAATTTTGAATAATATCCTTAATGCATTGTCATCTTTGTACCGATCGAGGTTTCTATCGATTTGTGTGTTGACTGCACTTGATTTGTCGCTTTTATTTATTTATTTTGCTAATGGGAAATTGTGTCAAGCCTATAAGAATTATGCTAAGAGTAATGTTATTCATCATCAATGGGGTTACAAACACAGTTTAGGTGTTTCACATTTCATTTAACCTATCATTTAAAAGCAACTAGACTGTATTTGTAATTCCAATGAGAATGAATAACATTACTCTTATGCCGAAATTTCCACGTAGGTATAGCATTATGTAGAGGGTTATGTACAATTAGATTAATCATTCTTTTAATGTAATGATTGTCGGAAATGTAATCTATAGATTTAGTGCAAATCGAGTTTGACTTCACTAGGATCCATGCAAGAATTTGATGCACATATGTTTCAGTAATTCAACCAATGGCCCCCACACGGATCCGATTCAAACTTCCAAAACCATATCTTACGTAATTAAACTAATAATTAATCAAACTCTGTCTTTTATTTTTATTTTTTCAACAATTTACTTAATAATAACTTGTGGGGTTGGTCTCCCAACTGTTTAAAATTTCAAATTAGGCCTTGACTTTTCATAATAATTGCAAAATCACTCCTAACGAAGGAAATTTTTCAAATTCTAATTATGTAGTCCTTACACGTCCAAATTTTTGAAGTTAGGTTCTTTCTTTCGACTTGAATTTTAGCCCATGTTCGGTATACATTAAAATTTTCATTTTCATTCTTCTACTAATTTTCAACCTATCTTTCAATAAAATAATAATTTTCATCACATCAATAATTTTTTCTTCCTTTTCAACCGCACATTCTCTATCAATCTACTATTCCAAAATACATTCTTCCAAAATAATGTGGATCAAATACACCCTTAATCAGAATCGTGTGAATTGGCACCAAAATTTTTGAAGTTAGAAGTGTTTTAATCAGAATCATGTGATTATTAAATGAAGATTTGAATATATTTTGCCTCGTGGAATAATTGTTCAATTATTAGAATGAAAAGGTGAGAACGAACTTGTTTGTTCTCAAAGAGTGAAGATCAACTTGTTACTCGAATAATATGTTGGGACTTATAATGCAATTTTCATAATTAGAAATTACCAAAACGACGTCACTTAATCCCTCAAACCCCACAAATCCGCATCCACCTTTTCACGCTCCCTTATAAAACCCTGTGATTTCCCTCAGATAAACACAGGGAATAAGGATAAGAAGAGATTCAGAAGAAAAAATGATGAGAGAAAAGAGAAGGGAAAATTTGTGCGTTACAGTGCCGACCTTGTTCCGTTGCCCTATTTCAATGGACGTGATGAAATCTCCGGTGAGCCTATGCACTGGCGTCACATACGATCGCAGCTCCATTGAAAAGTGGCTTTCTCTGGGACACAACACCTGTCCCGCTACCATGCAAACCCTCCTCTCCGCCCACACCACCCCCAATCTCAATCTCCGCCGACTCATTCACCTTTGGCTCTCACATCCTGACTCGTCCCCCGCGCCGCCGTCGACTTCCAAACGGCAAATCAGGGAAGTCGTCAAAGGTGCAGTAAACTGCGATTCTCTATCGAAAATTGTTGATTTTATGAAGGCTTCAGAGGAGAATTTGAAGTTTATTGCGTTTTCTGACGATGCAGTTTCTAAATACGTTGAATTTTTTGGAAATTGTAAAGAAATTGAAGTTTGCGAACTGATTGTTGAACTTCTGGATATGATTTTATCGGAAAATGGAGCGAAAGAGAGATTGAATAGCTTGATTTTGAAGAGCGGTAAAGATTGTTTATCGTCTTTTCTTTCGGTGCTACGGGAAGGAAGCGTGAAATCAAAAATAAAATCGGCGAGGATTTTGGAATCAATCGCGGTTGATTCTGAGTCTCAACGTAAGATCGCTGAAAAGGAAGGGATACTGTACGGACTGTACAGTTTGATCGCCATGGAAAAAGACCGGCTCGCAATCCAAGCCGGTTTAACAGCTTTATTAGCTATTTCAACGTCGAGGCCGGTTCGGAAGGAGTTAATCCTGTTCGGAATCGTAAAAACAGTTGGGGAAATCCTCTCCAGTTTTGATTTCTCAATTACGGTTCGTGCGGTAATTGAGAAGGCATTAGGAATACTGGAAACGGTTGCCACGTGTACGGAGGGGAGGGAAGCGATTAGTGAAGACGAGAAATGTGTGGTGGAGATCGTAAAGAGGCTGATGAAATGCTCCAATGTAGCTACGGAGCACGGTATTACAGTGATCTGGAGCGTGTGCTGCTTGTCCCGTGATCCGACGGCTCAGGAGAAGGTGACAAAAGTCAACGGATTGACTAAGGTACTACTGGTAATGCAGAGTGATTGCTCGGCGGGTACAAGACAGATGTGCAGGGAATTAGTCAAAGTTTTGAAGGTGAAGAATGCAAAGTCTTGTTTGGCAAGTTATGAGACTAGGACCACTCATATTATGCCTTATTGAATTAACAAACAATTTTCTGATTTATTTTTCAATTTTTCAGAGTTATGGTCAGGTTTGGTAGGCCAAAGACCTGAAGTTGTAAATCAAAAGGGAACACGAGTTTTGACATCAAACACACACAAATACAGATGAAAATTTGCATTTTCTCAACATTATTATAGAATTTCAATGTTGTTTTCTATTCAATTGCTCTTTAAATTTTTACAAATTTGAGTAGTTTAAAATTTTATTGAAATTTCAATGACATCTTTCTCACGTAGAATTATTATATGTAGTATGCATCTTATAAGCTATTTTTTCGGAGACTTATCAAATGCATTTGAACATACAATTGTTCGAAAAGGTAGAGCAGACGAAGGTGTCTAATATCCATGTTTTTAATACGTTTCGGCCGGCTATAAAGTCTAACCATGTCGAACTAGTTTAATTATTTAATACCTAATTTTTATGTTAGATTCTAAAGTTGTCAAATGTATTCTTTATGTCAAACAAGAATAGTAAGTAAAAACATACTTGTAAATTATTATATATATTTTTTCATTGAATATCAAGAGTAGGTAAGAAAATAACTAGCAAATGGACAAATTAAAATATGTTTGATTTCACTTAAAACTGAATATATATATGTTTGAATTGGTCAAAAATGTTTCCTTTGAAAGAGCCATCCTGCTGTATTCCAAGGTCAAAATACTTGTGCCGGCCAGGCATTTCATTTTATAATTAAATTGGGACCTTTGACTCACGGATATGGCCGGTGGACAAGATACAGTAAAGTAATCAACATGCAAAAATTATTGTTAGTCTGATAGAAGATAGCAACATTCCATCAGCATGCGAAAATTACATTTGCAACATTCCAAAAGTAAAGTATCCAGTGTGCACTTCAAAAAAACATAACTTGCAAATGCCAAATCATCTAGCAAAACAAGTGTTTCAGCCCAAAAGGGGATATAGATAACAGATGAAGTTGATATTGTAGACTCCATCAACACATTTTCTCCTTAATACAGCGGGAACAAAATGGAAATACTGTCAAAAACTTGAAGATAATGTACCAAGATTATGGCGAAAAATTATTCAAGAACGAAAGCCACCCGATGATGACCGCTCATATGGACCTGAACGATCGCGGTTATACTTATCATTTCCTGATCCTCCACGGCTGTCAGAGTCCCTGTTCCGTCCACCATTACGATCGGGACCATAGCGGCCACCACCTCCATATTTGTCATCCCTACCACCATATCTACTGCCGCCGCCTCCTCCTCTTTGCCCTTCTCCAGAGGGACATTCCCTAGCAAAATGCCCGGGCTTTCCACATTTGAAGCAGTCTCCACCAGATCCACGCCCACCCCCATGTTCACGATTTCTCTCCCTATCACGGTCACGGTCACGGTCACGATCACGGTCACGGCCCCTGTCACGGTCTCGGTCCCCATCCCGATCTCTACCAGATCCGTGGTTTGGCTGAGCTTTATCCACTGTAATTGACCGTCCATCAAGATCCATTCCATTCATTGCTTCAATAGCTTCTTCCATAGCTTTCTTGTCATCAAAGGAAACAAATCCAAAACCACGAGAGCGGCCAGAAAATCTATCCATCACAACCTGAAAAGGCAGATATATAAGGTTTATAATAAGATCACTACCCAAGAAATATGAGCATAATAGGAAGCAAGCATGACAAACTTTATAACAATCCATGTCTATGGAGACTGCAAATCATCACACTCCTACTGTGTGCACTTCCAATCACTAATGTAATTTGACCGGTATACTTAATCTCTGCCAAGAAAAAGGAAAACAGATATACCTCAACTGCCAACATCCAGCACATGTGAAGAAAGTCTAAACATTTTAGATATTGGAGTAACTTTAAGTCGTGATCAACTGGTAAATGATTTAGTAAATTTATTAGTAACTTATTCCATAATGTTTAATGTTTGAAATTATGAACAAGTTTTCATTATATTCAAATATGTCACGAATAAAGCCTTCTCAATGAAGTTTAGTTCCAACTATACCTCTAAATGAATGTAAGTAAATATTCTTGATTTGCTCTAAAGAAATGGCATAAAAAAAAAATTAAAAACCAGCAAAGAATTTCTATAGCTGAGACTAATCACCAAAAAAGTATCAAACACAACCACCAATACTACAAGAAACTACGCCTTATTTCTAATAAACTTGTAGTTGGCAATATATGCATTAAACATATTGATAAATAAAGTAGCACCATATTAATGCAGAATGATAGCCTCAATTTACAAAAATAAACAATCATAAGTCAGATGTCTTTGCCAATTACCTTTGCCTCCACAAGATGGCCATATTTTTCAAATGTTTCTTTTAAATCTCTGTCTGATGTTGACCATGACAAGTTCCCAATAAAGCAACGGTACTCGTCTTGTTCTATCATATTCAACTGAACAGAAAAGGGAAAAATTCACAAAGAACACTAGATGAAAAACATGTACGGAAGAAAAAAATAAATCAACCTAGAACCAAAGAACAAAATTCAAGGCAATAGATTTCATGTGTCTCTGTTTTGAATAAACAGGAAAATTAAATTATTTTGTTAAACCCAAAAAAGCCCCTTCCACGCTCTCCCCTCGTTTCTCAATGCTACATAGCACATGATATTTTATAAGCAAATAGACAAGGACGGGAAAGTCAGTTTTGGTCAATATGTTGGGGATGAAAATGGGATAGTGTAAAGATTGAATGTTCTAAATGACTTTAAATCATTCTGTACAATAAAGAATGACAATTGATGTTAAGCATCTAAACCACCTACAGCTCACATTGCAGTCAACATGGACTGCTATAAATCAATTTCAATTGAAGTTTCTACAGTAATAGAAAGGGGAAAAGAGAAGGTTTACCACGAAGGTGGTGATGAGGAGAACCTTAACCTAAAGATCTCCAATAGGGGGGGGGGGTGGAACCACTAGTGCAGTCAAACTTTGGGCATAATGGCAAGAGCAATGGTTCAGAATTTTGTACGCTGCCAGCAAACTTAATTCTTCTTAACTTGTTCCAGTTTATATATGCTCGAGTTATAAATGGTTTTAGATGAAACCTTTTGATAAAATAAACGACATTTATAGAAACTGATACCCTTGTTGCTGTACTTGAGGATGAATGCAATGGCAGAAGATTCGTTACGATATGCATTTAAGGTTTGTTTAGCAATGCAAGGGAAACATTAATTAGGTAAACTAATATATTACACTAAAAAATATGAAATACAACTGTTAAACCATTCCTTGCTTTGATAAAAATATAACTTGAAAATTCTTCATTCCTTTGTAAGGGTAATGGAGGGGAAGGGAAAAATCAGTTATTTGGAGAATGGTGGGAAGCTAGCATATTACACAAACTAACACATTGTACAACTATTGAAGAATTCCCTTCCTCTCCCTCTACTTATCCAGCATATAGCTTGGGAATTCTCCACCCCTTTCCCTTCCCTTGTCATCCATTACCTTCAAAACAAAACAAATAAAATCTAAGCGTGTACATATTTGAAGTTAGATGGAGTTTGTGGTTAACATCAATCATTAGGCTATAGTTGTGTTGGTAGACAGTCTCGGATGAGTAACTAATGACATAAATACAGTTAGCCAACCTTCAGCTATAAACAATCACTCAGAAGTGATCAATGAAGTAGACTGATAAGTTAACTGTTGTCTAATCCACCTCTACGCGTCTCTGTCTGAATTTCAAATCTTTCTTACTGCTTCTCTTCACAAAGACTTGTTCTTTCACCCTCCAACTCCCCAAACATTGAATTGCTTCCTTATTCCAATAATGGTTTCATCATAGTAAAAGTACGATAATTCTATGGAAATTCACAGACCAGTATGTATTTACTTAAATATTTACTTTGTTAAATATATAGTCTTGATCCAAGCCACAATCTTTAATATTGATAATATTAAACTCTAACCTAATTAATCAAAATAATAAAAAAAAAACAAATTCAAGTGCCTAATCCTTTAATTGAACAGACCACATCAAAATACAAAATACAAAAGACGCAAATCGTCAATAATACAAGCAGGAGTAAACAAATGCAGATCCATTAGAAGAAATCTAGTCTGAACAATACAAATAAAAACAGCATATACATAAGCGAAGAGAGATATTACCTTAAAAGTTGGTAAATACTGTAAAATGCCCAGTGGATACTGGATAGCAGCTTGTATTGACGCTCAACTTGCCAGAAAAACCCTACCTGTTGAACTCTTTATTTGTCATATAATTACACACTCGCACCCAAAGTTTTCAAATTTTCTACAAACGTTCCTAAAGTTTTAAATATTTATATAATAAGTCCCTTGAGCTTTAGCTGTAGGGGCTACTTTTGCATTATTCTTTACTTTGGAAAGATCGGAAATTTCCTTCCTCTATTTTATGTGTATATTTTCAATCATACTGCATGTACATCATGTTTTACATTAAGTTGATATCATGTGAGTTGACGAATTTATACAGTGATTTTAATAACATTTTTTCCAATCAATGATTTGATTTTTTACATAGAGGATGTCAAACATGCTGTCGACTACAAGTGTGCAAGAAGTATAATTCTTAAATTTTTATTAAAAGTTGATTAAATATACTGTCAAAATGTTGATAAAAAAACAAATTATAAGTCTCTGATATATGTGGTTGAATATGAATTTTAAAAAATAAAAGACAAACAAGGGCTAAGTGTCATGCAATGGAACATTTACTTCATTTCAACTTAATCCTAGTAAAAATGGAAGAATTTGGTTGAGTTATCGTATGTGGAAGTGTTTATAAACGTTTAAATTATAAATAGACGAAAATGGATGTTGGATAAGTAAGTGTATTTATGAATACCTCAAAATATGTGAATAAAAGGTATTTGAATTTTTATAACATAAATCAAACATAGGCTAAATATCATATCAGTGTTCGAAAAAACGTAAAACATTTGAGCCTTACGAAAAAGGCGTGCTTGGGAAAAGTTTAGACGTAAATAGACATTTTCTTATTTTCAGTATTATTTTAAATATTCAAAAACCATTG